ACCCGTCGCATCTCCTCTCAGAGGTTGGAGGATATTTTCTCCAGGTCCCTTCAAGACTTCATTACGGACACCCCCCCCTCAAAAAAAAAAAAAAAACAAGCCTTTTCTCGCCCTGCCCTGCTAGCCAGCCTCCCTTTAGATCGACGGATCCTTGGATCGGCATTGGGGCCAGGTAGTTCAGAAGACCGTAGCCTCCACCTCCCTTTCTGAGGAGTGGGGTAATTCCTATGGTTTCCCCCCTCAGAATCAACCGACCCCCCGTTTCCATGGAGACCCCCACCCAGTCAGGAAGAAGACTCTCGGTTTGTGGCGAACAAGTCTCACCTGGCTAAGAGAGAGAAGGGGGTCCAGGAGGGGGTAGGGCAGGGCAAGGGATGGGGTACTAAGGTGGGAAGTGGAGGGGAGCTGTCCCGAAGGGAGGGGCGAGGACAGAGCAAGCTCCAGGGAAAGCTAAGTCCGGGGACGCGAAGAGGACGGCGCCCCCGGGGAGCAAGCTGAGGGGCCGTAGGGTGAAGAAGGGACCGGGTTGGAGAAAGGCTTAAGATAGAAAGAAATGGGTGGGGGGGATAAGAAAAAGCCAGGGAGTCAAAACCGGTGGAGGGGTTGAGGGAGAGAGAAAAAAGACGCACCTGTTCCCGGGTCGGCTCCGCGGGGAGGCTCAGGCCGCCACCCGGGCTCCCTCTTACCCCCTCAGAACCGCCACCCGCCTAATACTTCCCCGATCTGATGCCTCCCTCCGCCCCTTATCGCCACCGACCTCCTTCTCCTCTCACTCGGCGGCGGCGGCGGCGGTCGGACTCTAGGAACTGAGAGGAAGAAGGGAGGGCTCACCAAAGCGGAGGAGAGACAGAGCCACACACTGGCAGCAGCCGCGGCGAGCCGAAGAGTGAGGGGGAGAGCGGTGTGTGTGTGTCTGAGTGCGAGCGAAGCCTGGCGGAGTGGGTGCCGGTCGCAGGGCTCGACGGGAAGTGGAGTCCGGCCGAGTCCGCGGGCGGCGCCAATCCCAGTACTGCAACACTACAACTCCCAGAATGCCGCCTCCGCGGGGGGGGCAATGGGGAGGAGGAGGCGAAGGGAGGGAGCGAGCAAGAGAGGGAGGGACGAAAGCAGGGAGCAAGCGGCGGCGAAGGGGGCAGAGCCAAGCAGCCCCGGTGACACTGGGAGGGGAGGGGAGGAGGGGATCGCTGAGAGGACCGAGCGGATTCTGGAGAGGGACGCAGCAGTGGCTGCAGCAAGATGGGCAAAAAGCTAGACTCCCGGGAGAGGCGGAGGCACTCGATCCGCGGGGTTGCAGGAGCCCCACGCCCCCCTATCTCGACGCCCCTCTGAGGGGGAGGTTGAGGAAGGGAGAAGATCTGTGCGCCCAGGCCAACGGTCTCTCTCTTTCTTCCAACACTCTCCACCTTATGCCCCGACCTGACTTTCTCAGGCCACTGGTGCCGGATCTAGTGTGCAAATCTAGAGACCCCAGATCTCTCCTGCTGGGCAACCCCCGACCAGACGCATTCAGTCCCCTTCTCCCACGGGTCTGAGGGAAGCTCCTCTTGCAGGCAGGGCGTGATTCCCCCCTTCTTTCCGCCTCCCCCACCATCGTAGTCACCCCCCCATTTCCCTCCCCGGAACCCCTCCCCTGAATCCTGGGCTCGGCCTCCCCTTCTCCCCGCCAAGAAACGGACTCCCTCTGGGGGCGACTACTGAGCCCCCTCCCTTATACTGGGCCCCTACCCATCAGTATCCCCCCCTTCTTAGCCTTGCCCCCCTCACCGAAGTCATAGTGGGGGTGACCTGAGTTGGACTGGTGACTACTTTCCCTCCGAGACTAGCCGTCCTTCGCCACGAAGACCCTGTGTAGAGATAGAGAAGCACGTTAATACTCCTGTTACCCCCTCCCCCTAGGTTTTTATCCCAGTGGAAGTGGTTCACAGTAAAGAGGGGTTGGTAGTGGAAGTGAGCTGGGAGTTAATCCCAATCCTCAAACCTCATCCTAGCCGTGGAAATCCCGGGATTCTTCTTTTTTCTTAGAAGCCATCAAATCGCTTGGGGGTGGGGGCTAAATTATCTAAACCCGAATGTCCACGCGACTAGAAGCGAAGCTGCCTCGTAGGAATAAGATTACCTACCAGGCTGCCGCCGTGGGAGAAGTATAAAGCCCTTCCCCAGGCGCCGTCCACCCCAAAACATACACGCCTAGGATAGTCAGAGGGCTGAGGAAGGGGGGAGGAGGTGGGAATGCTGGAGAGTGAAAGGATTGTGGAGCGGAGGGTCTACAGCCCCTTGAGAGCAGAATCCACATGCTAAGAGGTGGGTGGGGGGTGCGGCATAATCGCAGACGGTGTCTTTCCTCGCTTTTCCCGGAATTGCCGCCGAACACCGTCTAACACTTGGAGTTGCTTACCTTTCAGTCCCCTAGCCCCATTTGTGCGCGTGAGGCCACCGGAGCCCGGGAAGCCCGGGCACAAACTCCGCGGAAGCTGGCCTGTGTTGCCGCTGCGCTGCCGCGGGCCTCCCTCCTTCGGCTCCCGGCCCCGCCGATCTACCTTCGCCCCCGGCCGAGGCCAGACCCCGCTCACAACTCCACGCCCCTACTCCACCCCCGACTCCCCTCCCCTGGCTCTCTCCCCTCGGGTCCGGCCCAGCCCCTAGCGCCGCCCCGCCCTACCGCTCGGTCCAGAGCCCAGCAAGTGCCCCGAACTCGCCCCCCGCCCCCACGACCAGGCCAGTCCAGCCCGGCCTGGTTTCCCCCTCCTGCCGCGCCCCGCCCCCGAATCCACGTCCTACTTCGCCACCCAACTCGGCCCGGTCCGGGTTCGGCCCGCACCCACGCCACCGGAATCCCCGATTCAGTCCGGTGTATGGCCACCCACCCCGCCCTTGCCTGGGTGCTGGCCTGGCCCGCTGCCTGCGCCCGCGGAGCCAGCCCAAGCGCGCGGTCTAGGTCCGGCTCCCGGTGCCGGCCTCGGTCCTAGCGGCGTTGCCGCGACTTGCCACGAGGGCTCGGTCCACGCAAGATCCAAACCCACGCGGGGTGGGGGCCTCGGAAAGCAAGTTTCTTTATCCTCCCCCCGCCCCCGCCGCAGGACTGCGCCTTCTCCCCCCACCCTCGCTATGGCGCCCCCTTCACCTGGACAGAGCCCCCTGCCGCTGTCGCAACTTTGCTCTTCTCCACGCCGCCGGGGAAACGGGCGAAGCGGGAGGAGGAGGGAGGTGGCGGGGGGTGCTGGGATCAGGCCTCTGGGCTCCGGGAGGACACGTGGGGGAGGAGGAGAAGGAGGAGGAGGAAGGGGGGGCGGGCCTGCAGTTCTCGGGGCTCCCCCTGCCAGCCCTGGGGAAGCCGGAACCTCACCGGGCAGCCGCAGACCCCGCACTGGCCACGGGGGGAAGAACGGAGCCACCTTCCCCGCCAGCCCCCAGCTCTGGGTGGGGGGGGGGCGAGCAATGCGTTCAGGGTCGGAGAGCGAGCTTTCTAGATCATGCTTTATGTGTGACTCTCTCTTCCCCTGTCTAGCTACAATGTATGCAGGGGATGGCTGGGGGCGGAGGGTCCTGCAGGCTGTGGGGGGTAACGCCCCCAAGGGACGCCCCGCCCCTTCCCCGGCCCCCACTTCCCTACCGCGGGCGACCTCGGTGAGTGGTTCTGGCGCTCAGGCTCGGAAGCCGCCCACGGGCGCAGCCCCAGCCCCAGCGATGAAGTGGGACAGGTGCTGGGGTACTGGGAAAGGGAAAATGCTGGGGCTCGCCGGCTTGCCGCCTAGCCTCGAGTCTCTGGGGGCGGTCCACCCTTCGTGGCAATCTCCCGGGCAGTACCCCCCAGCCACTTTAAACAGGCAGCCCCCACCTGGACGTGGAGGCATCTGGGCATGGGGGTGGGGGCGAGACCTGCTGGAGAAAGGAGGAGAAGGGGTTCGAAAGGTCTGTTTAAAGGGGGAATCCTACAGACTCCCAGCTCAAGAAAATCTAGCTCCAGAGGACTCGGCTTCTGCCGGCTTTCCTCGGCTTCTTCAGTCACCAATCTGAGCCTCTGACCCTTACCCTTTTACCCTAACGACTCCCCGCCTGGCCAAAGGAAGAAATCCTCGTGTGTGTTTACATCCCCAGGCCATGCCAGGGACTGAAGGGCTGAGAAGCTTGTGGTCCATCCACATTTGAACTCTGATGACTTTACATTGACTCCGAAGAGCAGCTTGCAAAGGAGCTGAAGCAGCCGGCCCGATTTGCTTTCAGGCTTAGGGTGTTTCTTTCTGCTCCAACCCTGAGCTTGGACTTCAAAGACATCGCCTCAGCCTAGAGGGTATTAGGGGAGGTGCCCAGCAGTTCCTGCAGAATTCAGTGCTTTGTAAACAGATTGTGAAATGAATCGCAGGAATTTTTTAATCTTTATGTGCAGATATATTAATATTATTTATTATATATTTATCTATACTAAAGAAGCTAGAGGGTTATTTGGACAAGAAGGAAGGCCTGCAGGATTAATGTCTTCGTCCTTCTCCTTCCCACTCCCCCTTGCTTCTCTTAGGCCCAGAGATTCCATCATTAAGCTATGGGGTGTCTTCTCTTCTTTGGAAGGACTTTAGAGATGGCAATTGAGAATTGCCTGGTAGGTCTCCTTCACCAGGTTTGAGGGATGTGCTTGAGTGTTGGTGCAAGTTGTCTAAGGCTGCAGTGGCGTTACTGTTGCCTGAGCCTGATGTTCCATGACCCCTCTTGCGCATCCTCACCAGTTTCAAAATCTATTGTCAGAAACATGGACATGGCATTAGCCATTTTATTTTGCTTTGGGAAACTCCTCACTAGTTAACTTGGCCACTCCTACCCTCCCATATACCACACATCCACCTTAAAAAGTGTTTGGCCTAACTTGTACCAAGGGTGAGTGAAAATCTAGAAATGATTTGTTCAAGCTAACCAACGTATGAACTCAAAATGCTTTATTAAGGGGGACATTTCCTCTCTGGGGTCTGATAATGCAGATGCCACCATTTCTGCTTTGATTCCAATGAACTGTTATCACTGATTTTATTAATCTAGTAATTACTAAATCACTTCTCAGCTTTTTTTTTTTTTTGAGACAGTCTCAAGCTGTCACCCTCAGTAGAGTGCTCTGGCATCATAGTTCACACAGCAACCTCAAACTCTTGGGTTTAAAAGATTCTCTTGCTTCAGCCTCCCAAGTAGCTGGGACTACAGGCACCCGCCACAACACCTGGCTATTTTTTGGTTGTAGTTGTCATTCTTTTTTGGCAGGCCCAGGCTGAGTTTGAACCCACCAGCTCTGGTGTATGTGGCTGGCGCTGAGCCTTCTCTAATAGCCTTTAAGGCCTTAGGGCTACTTTGCTCCTTGGTTTGAGGCTGAAATGGATCCCAAACATCTTGATTCTTACTAGTCTGTATCTAACCATTTGGCAGCCTAATTTATCTGGTGAAATGAAGGTTGGGGCCAGATGGTTATTTCCTGGCTGAAGTTCTAACTTCTCTGAGCCCTTTCCTATTGGGGACCAGGCTTCCTGCCCTACAGGAGATGATGGGAAACCAAGGAGCAGGGTGGAAGAAGCTGTGGGAAACCCTGTAAAGAATGTAGATATTAATGATTATTTTATTTGAGGCCAGAACCACAACATAACCATAATAATAATACCTTACCTTTGTACAGCATTGGAGTGTTTGAAAAGCCCTTTCACTTGTGTTATTTCACTTGTTTCTGGCTATGACTCTTGATTTTGTAATTGAAGAAACTGAGTCTAGGAGTGTCTAGGAGTGGCTTGTTCAAGGTCACATGGTTAGTGAGTTCCTGAGCTAGGACTTAACCCCAGTAGTCCTGACTCTACATCCAGAGTTCTTTTCAATATGGTACAGCACCTCCATTTAATGCCAAAATGGTCCTTTTACAAACAGATTGTTTTTCTTAATTATTGCTGCCATCTACTAACCCAGGCCTCAACTCTCAGAGAGGCATTTTTTTTTTTTTTGAGACAGAGTCTCAAGCTGTCACCCTGGGTAGAGTGCTATGCCATCACAGCTCACAGCAACCTCAAACTCTTGGGCTCAAGTGATTCTCTTGCCTCAGCTTTCCAAGTTGCTGGGACTACAGGCATTTGCCACAACACCTGGCTATTTTTTGGTTGTAGTTGTCATGTTGGTTTGCAGGCCCAGGCTGGATTCGAACCCGCCAGCTCTAATGTATGCGGCTAGCACCCTAGCTGCTTGAGCTAGAGATGCCAAGCTGAGCCACAGAGAGGCATCTTGATGTAATGGGAACGGTACTGTTTTGGGGAGTTCTAAAAACCAGGCCTTACTCCTATGTTGTCAAATAGTTAACAATGGGACCTCAAGCAAGTCCTGACATTTGACTGAGTAGAGCCAGCCTAATGTCAGTTATGTATTTTAGGTCTCCCCCACTCCTACTTAAATGTGGAAGACAATGTCCCTGGCCTACATCCTTCACAAGGACACCCCACAAGCATCAAATGAGCTATGGATGGGAAAGAGTTTTATACAGCATAAACTCCTGGACTTATGCAAGAATTATTATCACCAGCCTCCCTAGGGGGTGACACTGGTCTGGGCCCTGCTCTCCTAAAGCTTATCAGACATAGCAGGGCATGTGGGGGTCCTGGAGGAATTTAGGCCCCAAACTAACCTCTGATTAAATCCATAGGATAATTACTTTAATTCTCTGCTGTGTTTTGTGATCTTGTCATTGTCTCACTGGTAAAATAGCCCAATCCTGTGACCAAAAAAAAAAAAAAAAATCCCAGTGGTTTAGATCTTAAGAGTTAATCAGAATGAAGCAAATTTGAAGCTTAGTGTGGTCCCTTCACTCTCTGCACCTCAGTCAATTGAAGGCGAGGTCAGGTTTGGAACTCAGGGTCTCAGACTGCCAAAGGGCTCATTCTAAGTTGCCTCCCATTGAAAGAGGACCAAGGGAGTGAAGGGTACAAAAAGAGCCCTGAAAACTTGAAAGAGAAACTACGTGTTACTCCATGTGCTCTCTAGTGTTTCACTTTATGTTCCAGGGGCAAGTGGGGTTGGAGGAGGATTCCTTGCCCCTATCTGCAAATCTCAAAGGCACAAACCTTGTTGCAAGCAGGGCTTCTGCCTTAAATGCATTCCAGCAGACCACAAAAGCTGGGGACTAAAAGTTCTGGCTCCCTGAGAACAAATGGCTGATGAAGGCCTGGTCTCTGCCCTCTCAGAGCCCGGGTCTAGATGGGGAGACAGCACGTCTGGTTAAACTTAACTCTGTAAACAACCAACAACCTTTCTGGATTTTATAGCCAGAGAAGGAAAAATGAGGAAGGGGGCTGCAATCACCCCAGAGGCCTCACGGGGTCAAGCCCCTCATCTTGCTGACCACTCCCCTTTTCCCTAAGACTCCTAGCTTCTCAACAGTTCTTAAACATACAGTGCTGAGGTGGGAAAGGGCTCTAAGAAATTATCTGTCCTCCTGAAAA